CTGTGCCGTGGAGCTGTCTCTGGCTTCCTGTACAGGTTTTCATGTAGTTAAATAAACTGATGATGTCTTTTACCTTGGGCACATTTTGATGTGATTATACTAATTTTTTTTTCTTATTGAAAAACAAAAGGACCAAAGATAGAGCTCAGTGGTATAAGTGCCTGCCTGGTAAGCGCAAAGTCTTGAGTTCAATCCCCAGTACCGGCAAAAGAAAAACAGTGATATGAAAAGCATGGTCTGTTTACTTAACAAAATATCATGCTAGGACATTGAAGAAAAGTTGGTTGGGTAATCTAGGTACATTCAGGGTCTTTTATGATCTAGGAATTACTGTTGTTCTCAAGGGTAAAAGGCAGAGTTCGGCACCTAACGAATGTTGGTTATGGTAATTACAACAGTGTAAGAAACCATTTTTCTAGCCAGAAATCGAAGTAATGCAAGGGGTATCCTAATGTCTACAAGCCCCCTCCCCATGAAATTTATTTTCTCTTTGATCAGATCTACTGGATGCTAAGATGACAGGCATCCTTGGGCTTGATTCCAAGTTAGTAGGCCTCTAGCTCTTGTCTGCGTGGCAGAGCAAAATGCCAACTCCACAGTCTTAAACATCTTGTTACTACCTTCCTATGGGAAGATCGTAAAAATAAGAGTTGAGGTTCTAGAATACTATTTCCTTATGCCATTTTGCAAGGAGCTGCAATAATACTAGTTGTGTTGTGTTTAGGTTGGTTAGATTTCCTTTACCCAAGGAAATAATCAAAATAGTACCTAAGAGCTTTATTCTCTCTTTTTTTTTTGGCAGACTGGGGATTGAACTCAGGCCCTTGCGCTTGCCAGGGAAGCGCTTATTCTACTGGGCCATCTCCCTGGCCCCTAGTCACTCCCTTATCTGCCTCTCTCCCCTTCTTACTTTCCCTCTTACCCCCTCCTCTTTCTTTCCCCTTGTTCAGTCTTCTTCCTGCTCCCCTTCCCCTCCCTCTCTCTTTCTCCACCTTTCTCTTTCTTCCTCCCCTCCTCTGTCCTCCTTGCTCTTCTCCATCTCTTCCCTTCTTCCCCTTTTCTTTCTCTTCTTCCTGTCCCTCTTCCTTCTCCTCTCCTTTTCTTCCTCTCTTCTTTTCCTCCCTCCCTCCCCTCCTCTCCTTTTTTTTTCCTTCTCCTCCTTCTCATTTCCCCATTTTGAGACAGGATGTTGCTAAGTTGCCCTCATACTTTTGAACCAGAGATCCTACCTCTGCCTCCCAGAATGCTGGGATTACAGGCATGTACCACTATACCTAGATAGTTCTTATTTATTATTATTATTTATAATTTTATGTATTTAGGGCAGGGTCTGCAGGGTGTTCAGGGTCTCACTGTGTAGATTGGACACGTAGTGTCTCTGTTTATAGCCTTCCAAGTGCTGGCACCACCATACCCAGTCTCAGTTGCCTCTGGTATGACACGTCAGGGATCAAATCCAGGCCGCTGTGCTCTGCCTAAGCAGGTGCTTTAGTCTGCTGAGCTATCAGGCTAGCCCTTCCTAGATAATTTTTAATTTATAGTTTCATTGAGTTAATTTATTTTTTTTATAATTTTTTTTAACATTTATTTATTTATTGTGTGTGTGGGCCCCCCCCCTCAGCCCACCAGGGGGCGGGGCTGGCTGGCATGTGGTGCTGGGGATTGAACCGTGGTCCCTGTGCTTTGCATAGCTTAGCTTGTTCCAAGTAGGTGCTTTAGACCATTGAGCCATCTCACCAGCCCTCATTGAGTTAATTTTAGTTGTTTTTTTTTTTCCTGACCAGGAATGTAACAAACCTCGAGAAGCCTTTGGATTTGAACAAGCCATACGAGAGTATACACTTCAGAGCTTTGGAGAGATGGCGGATAATTTCAAGTCTGACTATTTCAATATGCCAGTCCATGTGAGTAACTATCTTTTTAGCCAGTTTGGAGATGTACAAAGGTTTTTTCCAAGTCTAATACTTTTTTTTTTTTTTTTTTTTAATATTTTGTAGAAAAGGACAGAATGAGAAGACAGTGCGTCTTTAAATTAAAGGCCTTGCATTCTGCTGCTTGCATGTATTTACTCATTCATTGGGTTAGGGTTTCACTGAGTAGTTCAAGACCTTACTATATAGCCCAGGCTGGCTTAGAACTTGAAGCCGGTTTCCTGCCTCCGTCTCTGGAGTGCTGGGGTTACAGGCCTGCGCCAGCATACCTGACTATTTGTTTCTTTCACCCTCACTGCAGAGTTTGTATTCTTCTATTGAGAAATGTGTTTTTATGCTTGTTTTATTATTCCTCTGTGAATATTCCTTTATGGAGAAGCATGAACATTTTGCTCTCTCTGCTTTTGTTTAGTTCATTGTGATATGTGGTTTGCTTTATTTTTCCTAGGGGATTTGGGCTTTTAAAATTCCCAGCAATGCAGTGCTAAAAAATTTACTAAAGTTATTAAAAATTTGGCCTCCTTATTTCATTTCCATGGACCTTGATGTCCTGGTTCATCTTTGTCCTTCATATTTGGGAAAACAGCTTTCAGAATAAAGCAGTTCAAATTTATTATGTTTTTTTCAATATCCAAGTTACCTTTAGTTTTCTTGTATTTTTAGTGAAAAAAAGCCAGGATGCCAGTTATTTCTGTTGTAGATGAGGCTTTTATAATTTCATACTGTTTTTGTGTTTACTTGGCCTGTGTATTATGTTATAGTTGATGATAGTTATAGTGGGTTAGTAATCTTTTGTCTTTATTTGCTTATGCAGATGGTTCCCACAGAACTAGTAGAAAAGGAGTTCTGGCGGCTGGTTAGCAGCATTGAAGAAGATGTCATTGTGGAGTACGGAGCTGATATCTCCTCAAAAGACTTCGGAAGTGGATTTCCTGTGAAGGATGGTCGGAGAAAGATGTTGCCAGAAGAAGAGGTACACATAGTGCCACCTAGATTTTTGTTAAACCCCACGTGTTTTAGCTTTTGCTTTTTCTTTTTCTTTTCTTTTCTTCAGCAGTACTGGGGATTAAACCCATGGCATTGTGCATGCTAGGCAAGTGTTCTACCACTGAGTTACATTTCCACCTTTTTTTAGCTTTTTCATAGAAAATCACCTTTCTTTTAATCTTTCTTGTTGTTGTTTGGCTTTTCTGAGACAGGGTCTTGCTGTGCAGTTTAGGCTGGCCTCAAACTCACTGTGTAGCCCAGGCTGGCCTCAAACTCACTGTGTAGCCCAAGCTGACCTTGAACTTTGTGTAGCCCAGGCTGGCCTCGAACTCACTGTGTAGCCCAAGCTGGCCTTGAACTCTGTGTAGCCCAGGCTGGCCTCGAATTCACTGTGTAAGTTACACAGTGAGATGAACTCATAGTGATCATCCTGCTTCAGCCTCCTGAGTGCTGGGATTGTAGGAATGATGCGCCACCATGCTCAGTGACCTTTTTTTAATTTTAAGGGTTCATGTCAACTTAAAATATTAAATATGTGGGCTTTGGACCATACAAATAATATTTATTTGAGGCAGGGTCTCAGTATGTACTTGAGGCTGCCCTTAGGCTCACTGTGTAGCCCAGGGCGGCCTTGGACTCATGGCCGTTTTCCTGCTTCATCTTCCCAAGGGCTGGGATCACAGGTGTGCACTACCACATCTGGTAGTTTTCAGTTTTAAATACAACAAATTCAGGATTGGGGCTATAGCTCAGTGTTAAGGGCATTTACCTAACATGTATTGATCTCTATCACTGAACAGGAAAAGTGAAAGAAAACAACAAAAAAACCCATAAATTCAAAATATTTTTTTAAAAGTATCTAACTCTGAGCTTAGTGTGATGGTGTATGCCTCTTAACAGTTGCATTTGAGAGGCTGAGTAAGGAATTTCATGGGTTTGAGGTCAGACTAGGCATTGTAGTGGCTTACCAAGAACCTGTCATAAAGTAAAAAAGGGTTGGGGAATATAGCTCAGAGCAAGGGCTCTGGGATCAATCCTTAGCACCACTAAAACCAAAACTATTTCTCCCAACCAAAACAGTCGCCCTAAAACTCTGAAAACTTAGTTTGAAACATTAATATGAGTTTAAAATATTTGCTTAACTTTCTATTCTAAAATATAAAAAAAGTAAAATCTAGGAAGTGACTTACTTATTTGAAATAAAGATTGACAGTTTTGAAATCAGTTTCCTGGGCCAGCCAGATAGCTCTGTGAACCAAAGCAATCCCTGGCTGTGCCAGCCCTGCTCTCACCCCCAGGATGTGCTGAGGAGGCGATTGCGACTGGGCACGGTGATGCGTCTATAATCCCAGCATTTGGGAGGCTGACAACAGGAGAATCACTGAGTCTGATCGACGTAGTGAGACCCTGTGGACCCTGTACTAAATACATAAGAAAAAAAGCAGTTTCCTTCAATGGTTGGGTAGGCAGGCTTTTCTTTCTTCTTTTTTTTTTTTTAAATCCACGCCCCTTCCCCAACATTAGGCTTTCAAGTATGTATGTAAACTACAACATCTGTATGAAGTCCTCGGACACAGAGAGAGTTGTGTGAACCTGAAATGATCATTTTTCTTTTGTCCCTGCTACTTTCTTTTTCTTTTCTCCTATACTTGGCAGTGACTTGAGTTCTTTTTAAAAAGTTGTCTGTGACTACTCCAGATTCAGATTTTACCAACATATGTTGAGTGTTATCCACCAGGAAAGCTCATTTGAGCCTCTGTTCCAAGGTTTTTATTTGGGGCTAGTGACCTAAGCGCCTTTTGAGGAAGCTGGTGTTCACCACAAAGCTTATTGTGCAGGCCAGGCACCGTGAGCTGGTCCTACGGTAGGGCAAAGGTTTTCTCACAGTAGAGAGCTGTTCATTATTCACATTTCCAGGTACCAGCCAAGAGCTAAAGTTGCTTGGCTTTTTGCAGGATTGTAGTCTCAGGTCTGCTGTGTTACTCTTTTCCATAAGTGAGATGTGGTAGAAAAATACAGTGAAAGTTGAATTTCTAAAAATTGATTAAGGTAAAAGACACATCGCTATTAATTTCCATAAAATGCTTCCCCTCGCTTTGAACACATGTGTATCATCGTTATCGTTTCTGAAGCAGTCGTAGAAATCTTTTTTTATTTTTATTTCTGTCTTTGCATTCTGTCCTCTGTGCTATCTCATACCATGTTTCCACTGGAAAACTCATGCTAAATTGCTCAAGGCAGGTGATAGCTTAGAATTATAGTGAAAGTAATAATAGTAATAACAACAGAAATAGACTTCGTGGGTTCTGTGGTTCTCACTTAGAGAAGTGTTCTATTTAAGATGATAAGTATTTAAAGTCTGTACCGCATATGGCTGCAGAGATGTGTGTTTGAAGCTTATTCTTTGGCTTCCAAATCTAGTTTGAAACCCCTGTGAAGGGACGAGGATGTAGCTCAGGGGCGCAGGGCCTGCCTGATAAGTACAAAGTCCTGATTTTGATTCTTGGTACCAACAAAAGAAACCCCTGTGAAAACAGTAACCAAGCTTCCTCTTTTTCTTTGGCCTTGCTCCCTTTCTTTCTGGAAACTAGGAATTCCTTTTTCTTTCAAGTTCAGTTGTAAAATAGTGTTATAACTTACTGAGTTTTTCTAGGTATTTTTGTAGTGAGGGGTGGTGGTGGTGACTTTTTTTTTTTTTTTTTTTGGTACCAGGAATCGAACTCAGGACCTTGCACTTGTGCTGCTGAGTTATATCCCCAGCTCCCCAGGTGACTTTCTGCATTGTAACATCTTTCCGTATTGTTACAAATTCAAGATTAGGTTTCTTGTGTTTTGTGTTCACAGTATGTAGCACCACTCTATAAGTATGGTAATCAATATTTTGGGAAGTTATACCACTAGGGATATAGTAGACAGTAATAAGACCTGTTAAAATGGGTCTCACCCTGTTTACTGCAGGTCTAGGAGTAAGAAGATTTATGTGCATTGAAGTAAATAGGTGTCTGAAATAAGGGGAACTCTGAGAAGAAACTAGGATTGATTGAGATAGGATTACATTTCTAATTAGGTGCTTTGGATGCATTAGATAACAAAAAATGTTCCATCAGTTTTCTTGAGAGGCTTTTCTTGAGATTTCTATTGAACATTTATTTTTGATCTTTTTTTTTTAATCTTTCTGAGACAAGATCTCACTATGCATTTCAGGCTGGCCTTGAACTCACTTTGTGGCCCAGGATGATTTTGAACTCACAGTGATCTGCCTGCCTCAGCCTCCTGAGTACTGAGATTCCAGGCATGTGCCATCATACCCAGCCTATTTCTGATCTTTTTTGACCTTTTTTTTTTATTTATAGGAGTATGCACTTTCTGGTTGGAATTTGAATAACATGCCTGTCCTGGAGCAGTCTGTTCTTGCACACATCAATGTGGATATTTCTGGCATGAAGGTGCCATGGCTCTACGTGGGAATGTGTTTCTCTTCCTTTTGCTGGCACATTGAGGACCACTGGAGTTACTCCATTAACTACTTGCATTGGTGTGTACTTTTAACTTACTTTAGTGTAATGGTTTGAATCCAGGGTCTTGTGCATGCTAAGCACATACTCTACTGCAAAATTGTGTTTCCAGCCCGTCTTTTAAAGAGATTTAATAACAGGGAGAACTGGCTTCAAAAGTATTTTCTACCCAAAAGTAGGGTAATATATTGTGGAAGAAAGGGGGAGCATCTAAGCATGCCTACCCTTTTAAAGTATATTCGAGTAGCTTATTTCCTTGGATAGTAAACTGAACTCAGTGAACTTACAGATACGTTAGAGATCAGTGAGTTTTTACTTTGATTATTGTGAAGATAACTTGAACATCCAGTGGACCTACAAATCAGGATAGGGTGTCAGTATCTTTTGGAATAGTATTTACTTTTCATGAAGTATCTTCTTTAAACATACAATTTCTGATCTCTTTGAAGAGTTTATGTGTTTTGTTGCTAATAGAAGTGATAATTAACTACCTATCTATATTCTCTTGCTTCTGTTAAGAACAGTAGCACAAAATTTATGAAATAATTGGCAAAACTGTGGCTATGAAGTAAGACAGTGGCTTTAAACATACAATTTCTGATCTCTAATTTATAATTTAGTGGCTTCGAGTTGGAGAGAATACACAGTTAATTATAATTTAGCAGGTGTGAATCAGAGACTCTAGATTCATTGGTACCATGTTCTACCTAGCTGAACAGTTATTTCTTTTGCCAGGGGGGAGCCAAAGACATGGTATGGTGTACCATCTCATGCTGCAGAGCAACTGGAAGAGGTGATGAGGGAGCTGGCCCCTGAGTTGTTTGAGTCCCAGCCTGATCTGCTACATCAGTTAGTCACCATCATGAACCCCAACGTGCTAATGGAGCACGGTGTGCCTGTGAGTCTTTCTGCATCTCCTTGTAATATTTTTATTGTTTTTTGAGACAGGGTGTTGCTGCATAGTTCAGGTTGACCTTGAACCCACCTAGGCTGGCCTCAAGCTCACTACAATCCTCCTGCCCCAGCCTCCCAAGTTCTGGGATTACAAGTGTGCTCCTTTTAGTATTTTTAAAGTTGTTTTTAGCTCTTGGTTAGATAGAATCATGTATATGCTGTATTCTGTAGCCGGAAGTGAAAAGTTATGTTGTCTTCTAGCCAAGTTAGAATTTATACTTTGTGGGAAACAATTTTTATCTGATTAAGAGAAATATTTTAAGGAATGAATTGTATTTTACGTATAGTTTACCTGTTTAAATAGTCTTCGGTGTTCTGTAAATCATTATATCCTGTTTTGAACAAAAAGCTCATGTTTTTTACTGCCTTAGTTTAACCAAAAAAACAAAAAACAAAAACAAAAAATAACAGATATTTTAAGAGGTAACTCTAGTAACTTACACTGTTTTATATGAAGAAGTCACAAGGGGCCAGGGAGACAGCTCAGTGGAATAAGCGCTTCCCTGGCAAGGGCAAGGGCCTGAATTCAGTCCCCACTTCCACCAAAAAAGAAAGAGAGAGAGAGAGAGAGAGAGAGAGAGAGAGAGAGAGA